GGCCTTGCCAGTCACTCGCTGTTCGATTCTACACTTTGTTGTTATGTAGACAATTGATGCCTTTCCAGTGCTTTGAAGGAGGAATTTTTCGTTTTAAGTGCATGCCTATTTTCTTTCTTTCCATAAGTGCCAGGAATGTCTCCGCCATCTACTGGATGCTTTATTTCACCTTTCAGTGTTTTAAGGCATCACACATGGCAAACTTGGACGATGAACTTAAAGAGTTTTCCCACCTCAAGAGATGCTGAGCTTTCAATTGCCAAAATCCATTCACCCTTCCACACGGTGTCTGTGAAGCTGAAGAAACAAAGACACAATGACAAGTTGTTCCAGACTTCAACTAAAAAAAAGTTTATTTGAAATGAGTTCATTTTTTTTCCGTCGAAGGAATAGGGATGGGGAGACTATGAGAACAGCCAAAGAGTCGCGTGGGGGGCAGAAAGTTATCAAGCGGCAACATCAAAGCACACAAATGACAGAAGTGTAGAGATGGAGGGCAGCGGCACGGACCACTCGCCTGACCACCATCCCGTCCTCGACCGCGATGTGGCACGACCGGGGAAGGGGTGGGCGAGCAGCCAGATCTTCGGCGGTTTGTGGGAGCGCGGCAGCCAAACCAAAGCATGTCATCACCGATACTGCACAGGGCAGCAGCTTCAAACAGAGCACGCGAGATGTGATGCACTTCCCAACTTCATATCTGAGCCCACCACTGGTAGACCTTTGCGGAAATCGTGTGCACGCGTGCAACTGTCGTGAAGACAAGTACATGCAGATCAAAGCAAGCAGGGCTATCCCTCCATCCTCTGAGAATGCCATGGTCTGGGAAACCGAGGGTAGTGACGGCTAAGTGTTATCCATACATAACATCGAGCACTACCGCATGTATACGTCACCGCATTTGATAACCCTGAAACCCCTGCGCAAACGAGCATTTATTCTAAAGCATCAGAGCTGCTGAAAGCCACAGCAGCGACATAAATGGTCTGATAACAGCCAATGTTACCAAACTGCGAAAAGGCAGGCTTGGCAACTGAGACTTCGACGCATAGACATTATATTAAAGGGACAAGTAATATTTGCGACTTCACATGGATCTTTTTAAGCGAGTCAATGCGATAATTAGTGTTGACACTCTCTGCCACAAGAGGAAGGTTGAGATACTACCGCTGTCACGGTGTTAAAATTTTACATGATCTCCACATCTATCGGTGGTGGTGGTGGAAAAACTTAATTTATTGTCCTGGTAAATTAGTGGCCCGGGCTCAAGTCTCCCATGTCAGGACGTCAAGGCCTTGTCTCTCCGCCACTTCACGGGCCTGCAGGACTGCCCAGAGTAGGTCAGCGAGCTTGGAGCTCTACAGAGCAGCTTCCCACCTCGCTGAAAGAACATCGGGAATAATACGCTTCGCTTTAGCCTCGCATTCCCAGAGCATCTATTGCCAAAAGAACATGGCAAAGAAATAACTGATAAATTCCTTAAAGTGACAGTGCAGTGGTGCAAAGCACTTCTGTGCAAAGGTGGAAGGAGCGAATTCGGTGCAGTGATGGCATTCTTGGGGGAAATGCATGTCTGGTCTCAGAAAACCTGATCTAGTTAGACGTTCCCGGATGACATCATGGCCTTGCAGCATATACAGGTGCAGGTACTCCTACATTCGATGACTGTGAGCAAAAGATCCTTTTCCTCTCGAGTTCCCAGACCACGGCATAGCAGGAATAAGACAGGTCGCGTAATCAGGGCAAGAACCAAAGACACTGGTGGTTAGAGAGGTGCAATAAAACAAACATTTCCAGGCAGAAAGGCAGCAAAATGAAATAACTGTTCACGCTTCACATGTTCTCACATACTTTTTTTTTTCTCTGTTCTTCAAATAACACTCCTCCACTGCTGTGTAAACAAATCGCACAAAAATAATGAGGAGGGATTCGAGACATAACGAGATTCGATCACACATCGACAAGTACCAACGCACCGGGGTCACAGGTTTCTTTTGCACGCACCGTTACTTTGAAAACACTCCTCCTCTTGTCATACATGGTCACACACAGACAGACTCGGTCGTCACAACAACAGGAGCGTTCTCAAAAGGAAAGCGATATGCAAGTTTGCAGGGGAAGATAGAATGCAAATGTCAGAGCCGCGCTCTTTAAGTCGAGAAGAGAGGCAACCACGTTACGGGGAGCATAGAAGAGAGAGACACGATACTCAAGTTGCAAGCAAGCAGAAGAACTGGGGTGCGGCTTGGCCGCTCGCATGAGTCACATAAAAAAGAGGTCACCCTCTTTTGAGAAGGGGCGACCACAGGAGAAAAAAGAGATAGAGAGAGAACTCCTTTTTTTCGTTTTAATCTGCAAAAAACAGAAAAGCGGAAAACATTCGTTCTCTCTTTAGTGCGAACTTCGCTTTCCAGCTTCGCTTGGTTGTATCTTTTTTGTTTTGTTTCATCACAGTCTTCTTCTTGCTTGGTGGCGGGCCATCCAAAAACAACTGCCTGTTTTGTTTTTTGTTTCCGACAGTACCATTGCATATTTCCCACACATACAGACATGCACACAAACACACTGTTGGGCCATAGGAGGCAAATGCCGGAAGGCTCTGACGACGAGCCCTCTGCCACATCGTGCGCATACTTTCCACTAGTTACACTCGAAGTGGCTTTTTTTATTTGTTATTCGTCCTCCTCACCACCTACTGTCTGCTACATAGACGTACACTCGGCGCGAGACAAGGATTGCAGTATGTCACCTTTACCTCTAACCAACATGCCTAAGGGCACTCTAGTAAAAACAAAAGCATCTTTACAAACAACCATACTCTCATTTTTTTTAATCCGGTGGGATTCATTCCACGAGCAAGACGAGCGTTTAGAAAAAACTAAGCAAAAAAGAGAGAGAAAGAGACAGATTCAGAAGGGTTAAATTTGTGTAAGGAATGATAAGAGAGCTTCCAAGATATTGATTCAAAAGCACACGGATTAGCTGGTTGGGCATTGTTTGAGCAGCTGCGCAGAACGTGCAGTGAAGCAAAATGTAATAATGTAAAAATGCGCACAACATGTACTGCACATGGAAGGATACACGAGGTGCACGTTTTTACATCTGTCCTACACGTCAGCCCAAAGAAACTCTGGACATAGGCAGCATTGTATACGCTAACTTTAGCGCTGCTAAAAAGCAGAACTAACCACACTGTGTAGCTGCCAAGCCCGAACAAGACTTGGAAAGAAACCCGTTAGGCAGACAGCATGGGATAACCACGCATCGACCATGTCTGGTACTTGTAAACAAACGTTTTCATTTTAGCAGCTGCAGCTGAAAGTGTTGGTGTGACTATGGCCAAAACTTTCATATGTAATTTTTGTACACTTAACTCGCAAACGGACTAAAAAAGAGAAAAAATGCCGACATAATAGTATTTTGCAAGCTTAAAGCAAGCTCCACACAACATCAGCCTCCCTTTTCAGTATTCATTAACTAACTGATTTACTTATTTCTTGGCACATTGATCAATGTCAGGCTGGCTACTGAGCTAGTGGGCGCTACCTAAATAATCAAAATAAAAAGTTTTACCATTGCCTAAGCAGTGTAAGATACCACAAATATATAGAAAAAAGAGTGAAGAAAATGAGAAATCGCTAACCAAAGCAACCAGCTACAACATATGCACGGTAAAACACTCATACTTTTTTAGCACACTTTTCACACATTCTATCCATGCTCGGCACAACAGGCTCAGACAACACAAAAATGCATCTGTGTTTATGTCGTCAGCAGACTTGTCCAGTCAGCCACCACAAAGTAAATACGAAAACGTAAGAGATCAAAAATGGGCGAGTGACTGCCCAAGGGGAGAGAGAAAAAGTAAATAAAAAGCAATAAAAAAGGTTTGGGAAACAAAGAAAAGGGGCGATCCACGAGGGATCGGTCGGAGAATCAACGCATCGTCACAAGACTAGATTGCAAAGTCTCTCCTCCTTCGAGACGCACCTTTCTACTACCGCTTATACCCTGCATAGTGTCATCCGAAAAGACGCCAGAAAAAAAAAAAAAAACCCAAACCAGCAGTCACTACACGCAATAACTGACTGAGCAGTGACAGACAAAAAAAAAAAAAAAAAAAAAAAAAAAAAAAAAAAAAAAAAAAAAAAAGAGGAGGGAGAGGGGAAGTAACCTTCCACAGAAGAAGGGTAATCAAGGAAAGAAGCGGCTTTGCTGGAATGAATCGCAAGCAGCCCCTTTTCGCTTGTATTATGTTGTAGGGAACACAATCACCGGCAACCGACAAGGCACAGTGCCTCGCCGATTTTAGCAAATACTTTCTATCTTGTACATCATTGACTGAAATGCTAGGTGAACAAAAAAAAATTGCAGGGCTGCTGCGGCTATCACAGAATCTGGCTCGATAGGAACTGCCGAACCGAGAAGAAAACAGAGGGCCAACCCTTGATGCTTTGCTCTTATTCTTTCTTTAAAATACATTCAGCTTAGGTTAAAAGAAAGTCATTTTAACATTGTCTCTGCATACCACCTGGTGAAAAACCAGAACGAGAAAACATGTGCCAAAAGAAAGACGTAAAAATACACAAAAAGCCAGCAAAAGGGGGTAAGGGGACATGGAAAACAGAAAAGAAAAAGAAACCGGGATCATTTCAATAAAAGTAAGGCAGGAGCTTGTGTGTGACTGGGCTCAGTCGAATTAAAGATCAGTTGAATATTAACAAATACTACTAGAAAGTCAAACGGCTTGAGTATCCATAAATCTCAAATGCTAGTGATCAAAAAAAAAGAACCTACATCATTAACAAAACAAGACCAATAAACACATTACTACCAGCAACTCGTTAACCAGAAACAATGTAGAATCCGCTCTAGGTGAAGACAGTAGGCACTGCAGTGCTAATTAGTGCAAGGGGTTGATTTTTCTTGTCCTCAGCGCGCAAAGCTCCTTCAATAAAAATGAAAAGAGGGTGCGGAAGAACGAACTGATACGCAACTCGGTGGCGACTGCGCACATTATTATTCTGCAGACAATGACAACAGCTTCTGCGAGAACTACTGACAGCACACTTTTTCATTTTTTGTTTCATTTTCCTTCTTTGAGAAGACCACCGGGCCGGACACACGGGAAACAATGTGCTGCTAATGCAGCAGCCCCCACGACACACACATTTCTTGACGGACGACACACGTTCGGAAAGAGAAAAAAAGACGGTCACAGCAAGAAAAATCCTTTAAAAGAGAGAGAGAGTGGGTAAAGAAACCAACTGAAGAAGCCTAGTCTTACTAGGTCAGCCACCCAACAACCGTGTTAACATAAGTGAGATAACAACATGGGGAAAGAAAGAAAACCACGTGTTGTATATGAAAGACAGCGAACAAACACTCTTGACACAATGCTTTGTGGCAGCGCGAACTCACAGTTCACACACACAATGTTGTAGCTCCTCTTCTTCCCCTTCCTTATTTCCCCGCCCCACATCTGCGTTGCACAGTCGCCAGACCGCCACGTCCCGCGTACGTATGCAAATAATCCATTGCCCTCGCACTCTTCTTGTGGAGGAACGAGGTCAGCGTCTCACTGGCACGAGGGAAAGAGAGTCCCATCTCGTGCCGACACCCTCGTGGCAGCCCAAACAAGTCCCCGCCTGCCACCAGACCGCGGCACTCACAGACACCACCCTACACTAGCTTCTGCTTGTCAACTTCTGGTGGTCGACGTCGTCCACAGCGAGACGAACTTCTTCCGTTGTACGGAGCAGCAGCACAACCAGCAGGTATTCGTCCGAGAGAGAGAAAGGTCTCCTCACCAGCAAGTGCACATCACACATCAGCGCTCCAGCACATGCGCATCACTACAGGCCACCCAACACACCAGGGCGGCTATTGCATTTCGTCAGCTCGCGAGAGCTCACCTGCTATGTGCAGCTCTTGTATTATACTCTTGTGCCTCTCCTTTATCTCACAGGTTCTTCGTGACATTGGAAAAAGGGGAGGTGAAGAAATATGTACCCTTAAAAGAAAGAATGCTTGTTTATAAAGTAAATTAGAACACCTAATTACACCAGCAACGGTGTCGTTCCGCCACCTGCTTACCTAGCTCCTTGCCTAGGGATGCCTAGACGACGACAAAGCATGCCCGGTTAAACCAGTGACATATGGCCCGCCCCTTCGACAAACTAACGCACATTGCCCTTCAACGGGCCAGTTAATCGGTACAATATCCCCATAGACAAAATGCTGCACCAACACCAGAGTAACCCCACAAGCAAAATAACTGCATCACCTTCTGCCACTTCATCAAGTCACACGAGAGAGAGAGAAAAAAAAGAGGGGGGATGGAATCGTGAGGCATCCCAAGTGCAGCACAATGCTGCACATACTCCAATGAATGATAAAAATAAAAATGAAGATTAGAAGAAAGGAGAGCACAGCGACAAAATTTCTGAAAAGAAAACTGAAAAGCTGCTTAACTACACAAGAAACAAGAACACTGCAGTCAAAATAAACAGCATAAGACAGACAAGAGAGAATTTTCAATGAGTCTGCGATTGTGGCTCACCAAGAAATAAAAAAGGTTACCTGGAAATTGACGGGCACACAGAGCCTGCGCAGCTAGCGTAGAAAACATTCGCACGTTGAGTTCAATCGAAGTCGCTGGTGGTAAAATTCAAATATAGGGCGCCGCCTGTCGGGGAGGACCCATAAGTTGATAGCAATCGAGGAGGATGGCTCTGCGAGACACCGGCCATAAAGTGTAGACCCATTGAAAGTTCGTCCCTTTACAACAGAAACGCTCATTTCAAGAGAGAGAGTGTAGCTAAAGAAAAAAATCCATCTATAGGTTGAAAGTTGCTTTCATGCACGCACTCGGAGAGCAACGTGCACATTCCAATCTCCAGGAGCTGATGCAGCAGCGGGCAACTGCGAGGCGCGACTGGATCATCCGACAGGCAGCGCAGTAGACGACTTCGCTTGAAATTAACCGAGAGGACACACATCAGTATAAGCTCGTGCGTGTTTTCTACACTTTGCATCCTCGGCTCACAGTCTCCTGTGAACGTAGTTGAGTTGCATTAATTTTTTTCCGTCGCAGCCCCGCTGGAGAGGTCCACGTGCTACGTGCTTCCATAGTGCGCACATGAAGAGGAGAGATCGCAGAATCAAACAAAAACAACTTTCAGAACAGCGCCATGACTGTCCTTAAACTTTGTACTGCTTCTCTCACAACAAACTTGGCTGACAATTGGAAATTGTCGAAGGAGGCAAAAAAATGATACGATGAAAAATACATTCGGTACGCCAGAAAAACGAAAGGGAAGGAAGATATTGAGAAGATGACAGCTTTGCTGTGCTAAGCCACCGCGCGCCCGGCGGAGTAGCACAACTAAATCATTTCATCATCATCACCATCAAAAGACATCTCCTCCTCCCTTTCGCATCACACACAGACGCAACATCACAGGGGCACGCACGAATACACACAATCATGTGACGGGTGTTCAAAAGTGTGCCATGATGGTCTCGGAGAAAAGTCCACACAAGTCTAAATCAGCTGTTTTTCCATGCGTTTGGCAGGCCTGCGACAGATGCACTGCAAACGGTGATCATATTATGTGGCTCTTCAATAAGCATTTTAATGTCTATATGATTTCGCTTTCAGAAGCACTGAACTCTTGCTGCAAATCGCAGTGGCCATTTTTTGGTCAACAGCGCTGCTGCACCTTTTGCTATAGACTGGACAACTGGCTATGAGACTGAGCTGCCAATGAACAGCCAACCAGGCATGTTAATAAATGCGACTCCATAAGAATGTCCAAGTACATGTGGAATGCTGCAATGAAGCTTTTAACTGACACTTGCAGGGTATGACCAGCTTGTCCAAAGTCAAATAAATGCATAATAAGGCAAGAATTTCTCTTTTATTGTGAACTGCAGTATAGGTGAACTGTTTAAACTTTCTGAATGCTAGGAATGAACTGACATGTCATTACACTTTGTACCCATGTTGCCAAAGATGAGCCATATTTGCACAAGCTGCAAGGATGAAAACTTACTTGCAAAAGTGATGACAGTTTGCATTGAGCATTTTCGTTTTGCTGCCTGAACATATTCTTGGTTGCTTTTGATTCCTTTATTATCGTGTGCTCAGTTAATTAAATTTAAATTTTAGATGCATGTAGACTGTTTTAGAGATGTTGTTAGAAAAAATTTTGGGCTAATATTAAAGATAATAATAATATGAAAATATTGAAAATATGAAATAATATGGAAACCTATGTGATAGTTGAATTAAGATGTAGCATGCAATCATCTAGTAGAGTGAATAATAAGAAACTATATACTGCAGTAGAGTAGACTCTCATTAAACGGAATCTGAAGGGGACCGGGAAAATATGTTTCATTTAGCAGGAGTTACATTTACTGAGAGGTGAACATGGGTGCAGAATACAAGCCCGAAACCAAGCATTGCAGAGGCAATAGTTTCGTTTAGGCAGTAGTTCCGTTTGAAATATTTCTGTTTACAGAGAGTCTGCTGTATCTCAGTGAAAGAAAATTCGGCAGCTTAAGCTCTTAATTTCAGTTGTACAAAAATGTTTACCATACAGATAGATGAATGCATTAGCTCATTCGATCTGCAACTAGGAACACAAACTACTGAGCACGTTTACATCATGTGAATGATTACACACTAGTAAATGTAATGACGATTTGGAAGAGCAGTGGTGCCATGAAGATAACTGATATTGCATTGAATGCAAACTTAAGAACCAACATTAGTCTGGGTCTTTAAAGTAAAGTATATCTTTTATTAGGCGACATTGTAGTGACGTTGCCAGCGACGCATATCGGGTCGCAAACTGAAAATGTGAAACCTTGCTTGCATTTTCTGCCGCAGTAAGATCTTACTTTTTTGGTATGAAAGAAATGCTGGATAGAGTCGCAAAACTACGCTCTAAAATGGAAACAAAATTTCCATTTCACTGTTGTTTTTTTTGTTTTTTTTTTGTTCCTTTGAGGTGTAACAGCGCTGCTTCCGGGTAGAAACTTTTATCTTCCATCTGCGTTTTGTGAACACTTCCTCCCCAAAAGTTCTCACTCGACCTCAAAATTTTTTCAAACGCCTCTCAAATCAATTTCATTTCCTACGACAAGTCAGAAACGTGCAGGTCTTTCAACTTATGTCCTGGCACACTGGGAACACTCGCAGTTCAAAGATGTGCCGCTGAATCAGCTATGAGGAAGGATAGCACACGACAGATTTACGCTTTCCCACATTGCACGGACAGCTGTGATTACGTGGAACAGGTTTCTCGCTTGATGTTGACATCAGTAAGCACTCACACGAAGAAATGAACTAAAACCAAATTCAAAAGAAAAAGAAACAGAACAAGTAATGGTGTACAGAAGGCCAGAGAAACTTGAAATGAATGTTGAACAGAAAAGCTGCTATAAAAACCGAATGCAAAAAAAACTAGTAACAGGTAGGAGACAATGCTATTGAGGTGAGCGATGCTCAACAACCTTTAATTGTAAGATCAGAAAGTAATGTTATTCACATGCTGCATCTGGATGATCCTGATGTCTCTAGCAAAAAACTATGTTAAAAGACTTCACGCTATAAAGCTTACTCAAATTTACACATGCTATTTCATTAGCTCTTTCTTTGCCTTTGGGCTGAATACTACAAAGGAAAAAAAAAAACAGAAAATTGATGCTAAATACACAGTTTTTAGATGTTACCAACTAAGCACTCAGCTTACCAATTAATTAAACCAATTAAACACCAATCAAAAGCAAAAATTTCAAGATTTCAACAAGGTCATATGGCTAACTTAGATACAACACACTAGAAAGTTGGACGAGCTGGTTAGATTCATACATGAGAAGGCGGGAAAAACTATTACAAAAAGAAGACTTAAAAAAGGGTGACAAATTATAACCTAACCGTGGAGTTATTACAAAAGCCACGCAAGAGATCTGAGCCTTATATTTGCCTAAATACTACAAAAAATTACTGTTAGAACAATTGAGAATCGTCTCCCACAAAGAATAAGGTAGGGATTCAAAACAAAACAGAAATGAACAAAAGAAAAGAAACAATGACACTAGGTGCACTGTGATACAGATGAGAAGACTGACAATGGGCCACATAAAACAATGAGATGCAATCTATATGTAAATATATATAATATATATGTATGTATATATCTTACGATACTATTTTTTATTTTGATCGCCACTTCTTGTTTCTCTTTTTTTTTTCCAATATGCACACCAACAGTGACATGTACGGGACATTGAATTCAGCTACGACGGGAGACGTGGTCAAAACACGGCCGTAACTCTTTTGTTACACCATGCGCGAATTTAAAGGAATGATGCCCAAAAACAAACAAATTTAGAAAGATGAAGAAATAGCAAGCCATATTATTGGTGCCATGAAGGTGACAACCGCGATGAACAAAGCCTGTATGTACATAAAACAGCATGGGAGTTGGAATTTATAAAGAACACCACCGCTTTAAAACCCCGGCAGAAAGCATAAAAAACAGCAAGCCAAGAAGCATGCTATAAAGGACAAAAGTGAAAAAATATAGTCTGTGCCATGACTTGTGAGATCCAAAAGTACGTATGCAGGACACAATGTGAGAGAAAGTGTGAGAGAGCACCATAGAGAGAGCATTTGGAGACCAGAAAAATGCCGAGGAATAAAGATGAATAAAAAAAGAAACAGAGTGGGAAATAAAATGGCCAAGCTCAAGTGTTCAAGGAATCCAAGAGAGATAACTAGGGCGAGAAAATGTAACTGATAGTCTGAGAACAGAGGCACAAAGTGAACCGAGGCGCAGATTGAATTGACGGAGAGCAATGGATGAAGTGAAGCGAACGCAAAGCTCAAAAGTGACTCGACAGACTACAACACAGTAGATGGGGATGAGGGCGCACATTGAGCATGCAAGAACAAAGCGATAAGGTGACAGGGGCAGGTGCGCGTTAATATCGGAAAGAGTGCTGTGGCTTGGAACATTATTGTGACAGCGCCAAGTTACGGCAAGACGACAGCGATACAAAGTCAGCATGTGCTCCAGAGCAGAGGAAATTAAATTACAGACACAAAGCCAGTTGTGTGTGGCAAACGGTGCTTTCGGCAGCGTCATGACGATACAGCGTACCAAGCTTCACGATACACAGTGACAAGCTTTAAGTTTCCCCACTACGGGATTTCACACAGTGTACACACACACATCACTTGCGACATCAATAAACTGATTCTACAAAGAATTGGACTGCACACTGCTCATTTTATTCTCAAGTGAAATAATCTCTATGAAATAGCACATTCAATAAGGAGCACATTGTGCAAGTTTTAGACCAGCTCGTAGCAGTAGCTGCCCAAGCTGGTAGGCAAACGATGTGCCTCAAGTTTTCCTCCAAATGCTCAGAACATAGAAATGGCTCCACCATGTGCATGTTCTAGTATTTAGAACACACATAGCACATTCTGCGGCATATGTTTCCCAAGTGACCCATCGCCTAAGAACTTTCCATATGTGTCCATTGCTGGAACACACCTACAGTTCATCCACTATCATGTTCTCTGAATTAGAAAAACAAGTCATACCTTCACACAAGGAGACCATGCGTACAAATACGCAAACTCAATGTGCCGTTAGAGAAATGGGAGATCTGCCCATGTACACTAGTGCTCCCGGAAGTCATTTACTGCTGAAGAAAGATTGTACCGTTATGCCACACACAAGTACCAACTGAAATGAATAGATGGTCGTCGAAGTAAAGTGAAAGACGGGGAGAAAGGCTAACAAGGTTGAGTGTACCCTGACACCTTTTGAAAAATATAGGCATGAGTGTAGAATGGTGGGCAATGTTGTGACAGTAAAGAGAAGAAAAAGACTATCACAGACACCTTTTTTTTTGTTGTTTGTTTGTTCTGCCCACACACATACACATACACACAACACCTCGCGGATCGCAACTCGGTTATGTTGGACAGAGAGACAAGACAGAGCACCCCATTTTATGTCACGGTAGGTCGGCGCTTGTGCGGCAAAAAACAAAAGGTGGCTAATTAATTTGGCAAGTGTCTTATGAAAATTAATGCTAGTAATGAATGACTCAATGATTGAAAGGCCAGGCATCCAACAACACCAGCCAAAAGACTGATTGCCCCCACTGTGTGGTTTAGAAATGTTTCACCTCTAAGCATTTGTGCGAAGAAGCTCTGTATGCTTGCAAGTGAAACCCATTAAAAATTGGGACAGGCCAAGCATTCTCTTCTTTTGATTTCTTTCGAAGACATCCTTTAAAGTATTTGAGACCCTTGCACCATTTAGTGAGCATGTTGATGGTTGAGTCGGGTAGCGCAGGAGAAATGGGAGTACACGGTGCAATGCTGTAAATGTGGCAACAGACAGACTGCTGCACACACACACACACGTAAGAGAGTAGAATTTAGAGGATAACGTGAGGACAAGGTCAGTAACTGAGGAAGGAGACAGAAGAACAAAAACAAAAAAAGAGAAGACAGGTACAAAGAAGTGAGAGAGGAGGGCACACTGCAGCAGTATGTACAGTTGTAGTGGTGGCGGTGGTTGGCAAGGTGCCAAGGAATGGCCACAGCAGGAGGGCCAGAGAAAGAAACCCCGGTCCGAAGAGGAGTGTGGGCAGGGAAAAGGTGTGGCGATTGTTGTTGAGCAGGGCTGGCCGCGAACGCCTTCCTCGGGAGATGTAGAAGGGTTCGGAGGTCGAACGCAGCGCAGGCTTCTTATGTGTTCTGGTCATCACCCGGCTTCTCACTCGAGCAGCTGCGAGAAGTCCGGGTTGGCCGGCGAGTGGAACGAGTCGCCCCCACTAGGATTCCCGGTGGAGCCCAAATGCTGAGACGGCGCCTTGTCATCGGGTGACGCGGCGCCGCTGTGCGGCTGGTGCTGCGGTGAGCCGGCGCCGAGAAGGGCAAGCCGCGATGCCAGCGGAGGATGGTGCAACGACGACGGGTAAGGAGGCGCCTGGAACCCACCGTCGTAGTGGCGCGGGTGCACCAACCAGCGTGGCGAGTGCGGCGGCGGAGGCGCCGGCGTCGGCGGCGCCGAATAGAAAGGCCGCGGCGGGTCAGGTCCACCGGGAGGGCCGGGCGAAGTGTCTTCGGAAGGCCCGCGGCGCAGGTCGGGACTGAGCGGTGTCGGAGGACCGCTGCCCCGCGCGGGCGACTTGTCTCCTCCGGAGTGCGGCTTGGGCGATGATGACGAGCCCGGTTGCTGCTGCTGGGCAGACGTGGAGGCGAGTGAGGCAAAGGCTGCGGCGGCGGCGGCCAAATGAGGCCGGTGAAGGAGACCCCCGGTGACAGCTTGGGTGGCGCGTGAGCCCCGTGAGCCGTAGCGACGGGGCGGCAGCTGTCCCGTGTGACGCTGCATGTGCGTCTTGAGGTTCCCCTTCTGGGAGAACGTTTTGCCGCAGAGAGTACACGGAAAACGGTCCTCCTTGTTGTGCGTGCGCATGTGCGTCTGCATGTTGCCCTTCTGCGAGAAGCACTTGCCGCAGACGCCGCACGCGAAGGGCTTCTCCTTCGTGTGCACGCTCCGCACGTGGGTTTTCAGGTTTCCTTTCTGGGTAAAGCGTTTCCCGCACGCCTCGCAGCCAAAGTCCTTCTCGCCCGTATGGATCTTCATGTGCGTGTCCACGTTGCCCTTCTGCGTGAAGCTCTTGCCGCACACCTGGCAAGAGTAGGGCTTCTCGCCCGTGTGAATCATCATGTGCGTCTTCAGGTTGCCTTTCTGTGTGAAGTACTTGTGGCACACCGGGCACAGGAACTGCTTGGTGGGCGGAGGGCGCGGCCGGGGCACACCGCCGTGGGTCCCCGCTGCAGCAGCACCCCCGTGGTGTGTTCCGTGGTGGTGGTGGTGGTGGCCATGGCCATTGGTACGCTCCAGCAGCGACGCCGGCGTCAGCGCCGCTGCACCCTGTTGCTGCTGCTGCTGCTGCTGTTGTCCTGGCGGTGGCTGCTGCGCCGATGCCGAGGAGCCCAGCAGCGGTCCCCCGCCCTTGCGCTCGGCGACCAGTGCCGAGGCGGCACCGAGGGGGGGCGGCCCGCCTCCCCCTCCCACTCCTGGCGGCGGCGCGCCCCCCGGTCCGGCCCCGTGCGACGGCCGCGGCTGCTGCTGGTCGCGCAGCGTGTTACAGATGGTCAGGTACTTGTGACACAGGTCACACGGGTACGGCTTGTCCTTGGCGTCCGGGTGCGGGCACTTGTGGTGGTGGTCGGCGGCGCCCAGTGTGGACATCTTCTCCAGGTAGGAGGACGCGGCCGCCAGCTGCGAGATGCCGGTGCCGAAGTGGAGCGGGTTCTTCTTCAGAAACAGGTTGGTCAGGCTCGCCTGGTAGCCCGGCGGCCAGCTCTTCTGGCTGAGCGCCGCCGGCGGCCCGACCCACGAGTAGGCGCCGTTCTGCATGGGGGCCCCCGGGCCACCACCGCTGCTCGTCGGTGGGGCCCCGTAGCAGTCGCCACCGCCGCCTACGCCCGACGGCGGCTGGCCCCCGCCGCCGCTACCTAGCGGCATGCGCCGCTCCAGGGGAAGCTCCAGGGTTCAGCCGGGATGGTGCCTAAAAGAAAACACACAACACCACGGTCAGCACACGCATCGTTCCAAAATGTTGCAATCCGTCTATCCATCAGGGCCATCGACAAGAATATTCAGCTCAGTGACTAAGAGACAACACGACCTTCCCGGCCGTTTAGTGTCAGGGCCTGTGCATAAGCAAAAGTGTAAGCGTGCTGGGGATGGCCATAAGAAGCTGAAGGGCGATAACTGCACGAACGATAACTGCACGACTGCTTACAGATGGTACACGCAAGCCAGTTGCACGTTGTAAAACTAAAGATACACAACAGGCTGCCCAAAAATGGGAGTCGGTAACGTTCCACGCAGCTCTCCCGTTGTGCGCACGCATCAGGCGTCGACAGAACGGCTCAAACGTTGAAACGGCGACGAGAAAGCCAAAACTCAGTGCTAAAATAAAAAAAAAAAAAACCGAACTAATCTATTAGCATTTCAATACGATCCCGCTTTTCATGTACACCGATAAACGGCAGCAATAGTCTTCCCGACCTTACAGTGCGCAAGTTAGTGGGTTTCCGAAACGTGCCGGCGCTCGCGGCCTGCCAACGCTCCTGTAAATGTTGCTTCGCTGCATGGTGAAAGACAATGTGGCGAAGCTAGCTTGCACCGAAAACGCACGGCACGGACGGCATTTTACGAGCGATTTGAGCATTAACGGAACGCGCGATAGAACTGTGTCTAACGAATAGGTGTTACAAGGAATGATCCCGGCAAACGTAGCTCAAGTGCCTCTTCGAGGCAGCGTAGACGGGTAGTGACCGGTTGCACATTGTACGACGGTGAATACAGCGGCAGCACAGAAACGCAAATATATACGGCGCATATGTTATCGTTTTATACGTAAAGTTATCATCAAGCAGAGCACATAGCTGACACTATAACACCCGAGGGACGTAGAATGTGTTACAAGGGGCACCCTCCAAAGCTCACGCACCCTCGTCGTTGTGGGCATGCTCAGTTTGGCTGACCCAATCATTCTGGCTCAGGATAAACACGAAGCCGACATTTGCCTGCACACCGAAACGGGCGTAAGCCACGATGTTACAGTGCGAGGATTATTCGAAAAAAAAAATGCCATGGAAGTAAAGATGCTATCGGGTAGCCTTATGTATCAGTGACGCATACGCCACCCTCTCGCCAGCCGAGGCATGCTTTGTTGGGTGCAAGATGGGATCGGAAGGGCGACTCTTCGAGGGACTCGGGTGAAATTGCGCCGAACGTTTTTACGCACAACTGCGTAGGCCGCTTAAGCATACAGTCCGAAATTCAGGGCCCCGCTTACACGTCCACTTTTCAATCTCTACATTTCCACTTCCCCACTCCCCCTTTTTTTTTCCCTTCTTGCGCTAGGTCATTAGAGGTTTAATGTCTTGTTCGAAATAAATTCTGTGACCCGATCAGATGGGATCGTACGTAGGGATGGATCCGCTGAAGGACGATATTTTGTGAAATTGCGCACCGCTTTTGGGATACATTGTATGGAGGACTTAAATAAGCCAGCGGTTTAGCACACCGCGTGCCTGTTCCCCTCCCGATTCTCTCACGCCAGCCCCCCCTCACCCGCCCCATTTCTTCTTTTTTTCTTGTTTTGAACTACGTTACCATTGCTCAAACTGAGTTCTGCGACCATTTCCGACACCATCGATCAGTAAGGACGAAAGAGAGAGAGAGAGCGAGGGGTTCTCACCGGCGAACGGCCGGCGCCAGAAGAGGGCTGCTGTCCGAGAGGCGCGCGTCAGCCGCCCGGCTTCCCCCTTTCCCCATGGCTCCCCATCGGCGGTGGACAGCGGCCGCCGCCGGAGAAGAAGGCGATTATTCCGCCGCTGTGCTGCTTCTTCCGGCTCCTCGGGCTGCAGAAAGACAACAACACGCTCGCATTTGACTCTTTCCACGACAAACGAAGCGCATGTGCCGAGCATACACGCAGATAATCGCACGCATCTCAATGCCACAGGCCCGCAATTCCCGGACTGAGAAACCTCAACCCATACCAAGGTACCATACATGGCTCGTTATGCGCTTTATATATAGCCATATCTGAACGTATATGATTCCTACACAAGGGTCCATATAAAACCGCAACTACCCTATAAGAGTACAAAAATATGGTGACACGCTGCCATGCATGAATGCAAGTTGAACCTTATAAGGTCATGTATACGCAAGAGAGAGAGAGAGAGAGAGAGAGAGAGAGAGGAGAGAGAGAGAGAGAGAGAAATGTTTATCGTAGCAGAAAAGCTGCGAGGTCGGCCTGCATCCATTTTATGGCCTACTACTCGGCGTTAGGAAAGGGGAGGGAGTGCAAAAGCAAGGAGAGAGAAGGTGCTGCCTCATAGCCATCCTCATCATCACATATGCACAAAAATTCTGGCTTCATATTGCCTCATCAAAATACAAATACCTCTGTATTCATTTGGAATGTGAGTTTTCTAATGTATACGATACATAAACTGCCCAATAAGAGCAGATCAGAAGACCGTATAAAAGCATCACACAGTTTTGTTGTTTTTTGCCTGTACAAATATGCTGCTCGGATGTAAACAGACATATTCTATGTTTTTAAACATGCGTAGGCACCATAGGCATACTGAGACGTTTCTAGCGACATCGCGGCACGTAGACTTCGCCCTGGATGGATGGATGGATTGATTGATATGGCTGTACCCTTTAGATCGGGCGGTGGCTAACTAACGCCACCAAGCCCAACGCTCACCACCGCCCTCTATAATCACGTCACAGCTGGCACAACAGCTGCAAAACTGCCTCCGAGCACAGCGCATCGGGGACGAGCCGTCCGTCATGAACCACCAACTAGCCGAACTTTCGCTTCTAGTCGCTACAAGCGCCTCAGTATGCCCCCGGCGCCAACCCATGTTCACAAACATGAAATAGGATTGTATAATCGGAGGTCGCACTGCCCGCAATGAAGCAAGACCAGGCTTCTGCAGTATATGACGTGTGGCTCGAATCGATACAAAAAAAAAGAAAGAAACACGGCAGCTGCTCGTGCACACGCACGGAGATAAAGGGAGGAGGAGGTGCTTTTTCGCTATAAATAAAAGATGTATACGCGTAGCAGTTGGGGAGACCCCGAGAGAACAGCAAATACAGTGGCTTCTTACGTAAACATGGTTGCAGCGCCCGCGAGAACAGCACGCCCACTTACGCCTTCAAAGGAACGGGTCGAACCACGTTTGAGCTGAGCCGAAATTTTTGAAGTAATGTGTTTTCTGATATGATGCCTTTGCGTGCTAAGCTTGTCGCCAGAACAGCGACAGTCCGTCCACGTTATAAACGGGATTAGCCGGCCGCGAGTGCTGCATGATAAGAATTTAGATGATATAGAATTAAGCATCACTATAACATATTCATATTGGACGTAAACGGTCCAAACTGAGACGCTCGATGGTCCACTTGTCAGCCCGTCACTTGTCAGGACTACTAGTCAGCCGCAAAAACTTCCCCGCTTGCAGCTGAACCGCAGAGCGTGTGCATCCTTAGAACTTGCAGATCGGGTTGATTGATTGATATGTGGGGTTTAACGCCCCCAAACCACCATATGATTACGAGAGACGCCGTAGTGTAGGGCTCCGGAAATTTCGACCACCTGGGGTTCTTTTAACGTGCACCCAAATCTGAGCACACGAGCCTACAATATTTCCGCCTCCATCGGAAATGCAGCAGCCGCAGCCGGGATTCGAACCCGCGCCCTGCGGGTCAGCAGCCGAGTACCTTAGCCACTAGACCACCGCGGCGGGGCTTTCAGACCGGGTTCTCTTAACACGTATTTGCTCCATTCATTCACGTCTACCTTCGCATGTTACACACGGCCATGCGTCACAGCACTTCTGTCATTTCACCGCGATTTCACGACCACCAATAACGTAAAGGGGCAGCTCGTTCGCACAAGAACACATTCTCGCTTCTACCTTCAGTGATATAATATTCACAAGAATCTTTTTTTTTCAAATTAACAGCAAAACACTATTGGCAGTATTCTTTAGCAAAACCACCCGTTAACGTAACAGCACTTCACGTTTCGAGTTATGTCCTGGGATATATAGTAAATAGGTACGCCGTCTCGTTAGGGCGGGCCAGTGCGAAAGGAGGGCAGCTCGCACTAGCAATCATCCTCTGCGGCGTGGGGACGGACATTCGTCAAACTGTTTCACCGAGTCACGCAACCGACGCGTCTCGCGCTCGACTCCGCACGCAGCGCCGCGGCAGAGAGGGCGGGCGCATACCAGTTCCTGTTCAAGTCTAAAGGAGACTCCTGCACGTGCACGCCGCGCTCAAAAATCTGGGATCGTGTCCAATCCGCCCTTTTCATTTTCCAGAACTGCCATCTACAGTTCTGGCCAAGGGGCCGAGACAACTGCTATCGCCAGAACGAAAGCCTCCGAGATCAAAAGGCGCTTCGCGACTTCGCCGCTAGGGGAAGGGCGCATGCGCAATCGCATCGCGAAAAAAAAAAAAAGTGGATGATCCACGTTGGTGTCATCTCCGTCCGCAGCGGTGGAGCAGCGGCTAAGGTGCTCTCGGCTGCTGACCCGAAGGTCACGGGTTCGATTCCGGCCTTCGCATTTCGATGAAGGCGAAATGGTGAAGGAGTGTGTTCTGTACGTGCGATGTCAGTGCACATTAAAGAGCACCAGGTGGTCGAAATTTCCGGAGCCCTTCACTACGACGTCTATCATAATCATATCTTGGTTTTGGGATGTAAAACACCACATATCATTATTATGATGCCATCTCCGATGGGCCCAGACAGCTGCTACAGCTTCTCTTATTGGCTTAAAGTTCCGCCATTATGTAGTTTGTAAATATGGCTAATTTCGAAAGTGTCCACATTATCACCGCTACATGTCCAACCTGAATGGTACTATAGCCGCCCAACCTTAGCTTAAACGTCACCTTTACGCGTTCAAAGATGACGCAACGAAGTTATACAACGCGGCACGACACGTCCATCCATTCCGGCCGACATACAGGCGGCGCTCGCGTCACGGCACATGACGCACCCATCTCTATACACAGCTGAAAGCGCCCATGCCACGCAGCAACAGCTGTTTTAGTCGCACCGGGGCCGGGTTCTTGACCATCTATTTGCGGGTGAATGATCGAGCTAAATCAGCTCACAGTATGGGATGTCGTCCGGCTGAAGTTGGCAGGTTGGACTTCACGTCAGGCCAACGGTGAAGGTGTAACAAAGCCCCGTCGTCCAGCATGGTATAAGACGGTCCACGAAATCATTCATACCTCATTTTGTCATGAGCGGTAAGCTTTCTCTGTGCCGTTTTCTTATTATTCACGCAGAGAGGCGACATCGCGGGGAGCGCGCGCGGATAGTTCTTCGTGAGACATGTGCACTCTCTCCCTCAACAAACAGAGGCGGTACCGCAGGCTGCTTGCTGTTCAAACCGCGGCACGTGTAGCACAGCTCCATTAACAAAAATTACGCGACATGCGTGCCGCGTGCGGCATAGCGGTAAACGCGGCTACCGTTTGCGTTTCCAGAAAAGAAAGAAAGAAATAAGGAAAGAACCAACGAAATAAAGAACGCAATAAATATTGGAAGAAATAAATAAAGAACGAAAGAGGGAAAAGATAGAAGAAACGAGGGCCATTAATAATTTATTAGCTCAGGTTAAACACCCCAAAAACCACGATATGATTATGAGAGACGCCAAACGGAAGGCTCCGGAAATTTGGACCATCTGCGGTTCTAAATTTAATGTGCACTGGTACGTTAAAGTACCAGTGCACATTACCGGTTAGTAAGCGTCACTACCTCCACCGTTACTAACGCAGTTAGTAATGGTTACTAACGTAGGTAGTAGCGGTTGCTAGCAAAAAGAAAATGTACTAGACGCGATCATGTTGCCTCACGAATCACCTGTTTTAGAACGGTCGTACTCGCGAACATCAACATTTCGATATATCACTGAGTAATTACGCACATGTCTTAAAGGAGAACAGCACACATACACAAGTCCACGCGAGAAGTACAGTTCCAAAGCAGTTTCAGGAGTATTTATAGCCTTAACTTATGGGAACGCAGCTGGTGCCGGTGGGCGGCTATGCTGTAGGATGTATAATTTAAGTTAGGCTGCTTCATTTGTAAAACGTATTTTTTTTTTAGATGAGCGAGGTAACGTAGTGTAGGACTTTTAATAAAGCATATTAAGAAAAACAACTACTTATGTCTATTTTGCATAATACCTCCTCAACATAGCCTAATATACAAGACATAAGATTGGGCAGTAAGCTTACATATATTGCCTCAATGAACTTGAATGCATGCCCGTACTCCTAAATAGGTTGTTAGACACCCGTAGTATTAACCTCTAAGGTTTGTTTAACAAGTTCATCAAATACATGCATGACGGAAAGTTACTAAACGTGCGCAAAACGTAGTAATCGTTGCAACCTTCAAGCATTTGCTAACGTTGGTAGCGAAATGATCGTAAAAGGTTATTAATGACCCAAGAAGGTTAGTAACAGCTGCAGTAACTAACATTTTGCTCGTGGTTACAAGCTTTTTACAAACTTTTTTTAAAAGAGTGTTGGGTCAGCAGCGCAGCACAATAGCCAGTGTTCCACCGAGGCGGACACACGAGGGCCATCCGAAACGTAAGGGCCGTTTGGTCCCCCAAAAAATAAATATTCGTTAGTAAAAGTCTTCATTGGCGAGTTTAGTAAAACCATAGTTCACTTTTCTACTTAATCACCCTGCACTTCTAACCACTTTTCGTACCACTGCACCAATGTCTTTAGTATCTCTGCATATATAGAAGTTCGCCGCCTGTAAATGTTTAGCTGCTTGAGCTGTCGGCCGGCATGTTAGGTA